TTTTGTTTCCTTCCAACATGTTGAACATGTTTAAATTTATATCAGCATACATTACCACTGTATAAAAACTACAATATATAAACTTCTCATTAAAAAGAATTAGATCTGTTTTGCAGAGGCTGTTCCTTTCTTGAGTTGAACTTTTAAAGAACATTTTAGATCATTGTGTTGTTGAGCTTTAAAATGTGTTCCTATCATTTCAGAAGGGCAAGAGATCTGCCACATCACAAACTGTAGGTACAGAATACCGACAAATATTTAAACTGTGATACTGTAAGATTTTCATTTTTCTGTTGGGTTCCCTGCAATCAGCTTACTTTACCCAGCAATAAGGTTGTATGTTCATGCCCATTAAAGGCATACAGTATTAGGTTTTGGGTGATTTACTGTAGATTATTTCCTTAGATACGATCCCACTTCAACACCTAACCTGAGACTAAAACTGTCATGAATTGAATACTAAAGAAGTACTAAAAATTACAAATATTTTCCTTTGGTCTGATGCATATTTATATATCTTGTCAAGTCTCTGTTACAAACATGAATCAGCAATCTCTTTTTACTCTGCAGCGCTCACTGTTGCCGGCCTACTGATCTCCACCTCATACAGACACCTCAGTTTTTGGTGCCTACTTAATATTTACTTAATATTTACTTGCTTTAAGTACACCTTTCTGTGTACTGATCTTTATAAGATGGACAAAAATATATATATTTGCATGCATTACTCCTTCTTTACTACTTGATTGAGCACCTTTTCCTTATGTCTGAATCCTGTGTCGAAAATATTAGAAAAGTCTGTGAGTGAGTTCCTGTCCATTCTAGTCCAATTTTCCACACAATTTGACAGATTACAATCAAGCAGAATACAACACTGACATTCCCACATTCGAGGACTATAAGACCATTGTGGGAAAGTCATAATTTAAAAGCATTTGTTGTTAACATGGAAAGAAAACAATCTGTCTTTACTGGCCACTTATGTTTGCAGATCATAGGACTTTGTATACAATAGTGAAATTTAGAAATTTCAGATTCATTAGACTAATCCAAATTTAATTTCTATCACATTTAAACAGTAGCAGACATTCATACCTGAGTTCTACCACACTTATACTGTAATATAGACATCCATACGCGTACTTATACAATAACAGACATCTACAACTGACTTCTACCACTTTCATACCATAATAAATAACTTCTGCTACAGGTAGGAAAAAAGAACTGACTGGGCCTTTGGCCACAGGCAGAAGAACAGGAGCATCTGAGACAGAAGTTAGTGGGCATTAAGCCATAAAAATGTAGACAGAAAAGAATGGGCCTTCAGCCAAAGGCATGAGTACAAAAATGACTGGGCCTTCAGCAAAAAGTACGAGGACAGGAGCATGTGGGCCTTCTTGTATGAGCAGGAAGACAGAAGTTACTAGGTCTTCAACCAAAGGCAAGAGTATATGAGTGACTGGATCTTCAGCCACAGGCCAGAGGACAGGAGCAGCTGAGTCTTCAGCCACATACAGGAGAAGAGAAACGACTGGACCTTCAGCCACAGGAAGGACTACAGTAGCTGGAGGACTAGAGCAGCTGATACTTCAGCCAGTAGGACAGAATGAAGAGCCAGCTCAATAGTGCTCTCCGGGACACTAGATGACGCCATGTTAACTGGCAGTGACTCAGTGTTGTACTCTAGAGCACTGGGAGGCACTGTGGAACCCAGTACTGGCTAACTGTTTGTCTGGAGCACTGGGCAGTGAAGTGGGACCTGGCACGGCCTCATGGTCACATATCCTGCTGTAATAGACTCCATACCTGCAGCAACATGCGCTGTAACACAAGAGCTGGGGCTGGAGTGATATTGCCTCTCAAAAATTTTCTTTGGGATTCTCTTTCTCTGGCAGAGGACTGAAAGCAAAGTAGTAGTCCCAGAATAAGGCCAGTAAGTGAGCAGCACCATCCTGAAAAGCCCACACAAAGATTTTGCACTCAAGGCAGGCCCTCCTATCACAGAAGTTACACAAACTTCCATATATATATATATATATATATATATATATATATTGGATGATACAAGATATGGATAGAGGATGTACAACATGCCAATCTATGTGTGGAAGTATAGATTTGCTAGATTGAAGTTACAGTGAGATCACAGTGAGTCTGTCTGAGGTGTGGATATGGTGTAGATTGTCCATGGAGATCATCATGATGATGACTTAGAGGTGTAGTGACAGGCCTATAGACCGATAGACCAGCACTACTAGCTGTTTAGCAGCCTGATGGCCCAGGGGAAGAAACTGTCTTGGAACTGGCTGGTTCTGGACTTTATGCTTCCGTTCTTCCTCCTGCTTGGCAGCTGTGAGAGCAAATAGATGGGTGGAGTCCTTTAGAATCCTTCTGTTCTTCCTCAGGCAGCAGCTGGTGTATAAATTCAGGAGGTTTGGGAGCTGGACCCCACTGATGTGCTGGGCTGTCTGCACCACCCTCTGCAGAGCTTTCCGCTCAATGGCAGTGCACCCATACCAGGTGGTGATGGAGCCTGTTAAAATGTTCTCCACAGTACATGTGTAAAATGTTCTGAGGATACAAGGATTCATGCCAGACCTCCTCAGCCACCTGAGATCGAAGAGGCGCTGTTGTGCCTTCTTTACCACCCATGTGGTGTGTTCGGTCCTTGTCAGTTCCTCTTTGAACACTGAGGAACTTGAAGCTGCTGACTTAAAGTCCACTATGAGCTCCTTGGTCATGTCGACATTGAGAGAGAGAGAGGTCGTTCTCCTGGAACCAGCATGTCAGAAAGCTGATCTCCTCTCTGTAGACCTCCTCATTGTCATTGGAGATCAGACCCACAATTGTGGTGTCATCTGCAAATTTGATGATGGCATTGGTGCTGTGTCTGGCTGAACAATCATGGTTGTACAAAGAGTACAACAGAGGGCTGAGCACACAGCCCTGAGGAGCTTCAGTGTTAAGGGTCAGTGAGAAGGAGGTGATGTTGCCATCCTTACCACCTGGTTCAGGATCCAGCTGTACAGAGAGCTGTTCAGACCCAGATCCCACAGTGAGCCGTCAGACCCAGATCCCAAAGCTTAATGTTGAGCCTTGAGTGCACAATGGTGTTGAATGCTGAGCTATAGTCCAGCAGTATTCTCACATACGTGTTCTTTTTGTCCAGATGGGACAGGGCAGTGTGTAGAGTCAGGGTTACTGTGTCATCAGTGGATGTGTTCTGTCTGTAGACGAACTGCCGTGTATCCAGAGTGGCAAGTAGTGAGGAGCAGATAAAGTCTCTGACTTTGACTCGGTGGTAGTGAGGGCTATTTCCGGGAGCGCTGTGTGATTGAACTCAAAATGAGCGTAGAAGGTACTCGGCTCATCTGGAAGTGCAGCACTGATGTGGAAGAATGGGTTTCCCTCTTAAAAGCCTGTTATTGTATTGTAACAGGCTTCTCATGTTGGTGGTGTTGAACTGTGGTTCCTCTTTAGCCCTAAACTCACATTTGGCTGCTCTTATGGTTTATGGAGAGCATAACTGGCTTTTTTATACTCATCCATTTTTCCTGATTTAAAAGCAGAAGTACATGCATTCAGAGCTGTTTGACGCCTCCCAGAACATCTCCCAGTCTGTGTCTTCAAAACAGTCCTGGAGCACAGAATCTGATTGGTCTGACTCTGCATAGGTGAAAGTTCAAGATAATAAACCAAATAACGTTGAGTTGAAGACACTGCTTCTCCGTCTCTGTGTGCTATATGTTGTTATAGTATAAGTTGATGAAATACTAAAAACACAACAACTTGGTGACGAGGATAATGGAACTTCACTTCGTGCCTTGGAAGGGCTGTGATGAGTAAAACGACTCTTCTTTCCCTAACTTAGAGTGAAAACGCTGCTGTGGGTTCTCTCCGTCGAGTCACAGAAAAAAAAATGGCAGTGAAATGACGGGTCGTGAGTAAACAACCAGACAGAATTTTCTTTTTTTTTAAATGCAGATGTGAGAGTTTGTACTTAAAGACTAACTAACCAATCGTGCCGGCGTTTTTGAGTGTAATGGGGCCAAAAACATTCAATTTACTGTGCTCTTTGGTGCAACCGGACAAGCCAGGCAGTAAGACCTATGCAGCAATTGTCGCTACTCTGTCAGCTCATTTCTCACTGAAGCCCTTAGTCACTGCAGAACATTTCAGATTCCACAAAAGAAACCAAGAGGACGGGGAGTCAATAGCGAATCTAGCTGCAGAGTGTTGGAGCAAGGATCTGGAGTGCAGATAATGTGGAAACAAGGGTCAGATTGAATGTGCATGTAAAACCAAAAAGGGGACAAACAAAAAACATAACAAAAAAAGGTCTAATTTTGCTTTCCATTAGAAAAAGAGTGTAAACAAGGTGCAACAGATTCAAGGCGCTGAGTGTGACAGTTCTGAAGAGGAGATAGGGCTGAACATACTGACTGTTGCGGGTGGGTCAAAAGGATACTGGGTCTCACCATTAATAGAAGGACAGACGGTATGCATGGAAATTGATACAGGAGCAGCAGTCTCCATTGTTTCTGACAGTGTGTACAAAAAGTCACTACAGCACCTATCTTTGAAACTGTCAAGCATTACTTTAAAGACGTACACAGGCGAACAGGTTCCTGTGAGAGGTGTTGTTGATGTCACTGTCCAGCTGAATAAACAAACATCAAAGTTGCCGTTGTATGTGGTAAAAGGGGATTACCCATCCCTGTTTGGCCATGCTTGGCTGGATGAAATCACACTGGACTGGCCTGCTATTCGCATGATGTTAAAGGAGGAAACTGGACTGACTGAAGTTCTGAACAAACATGATGAAGTGTTTAAAGATGAGCTTGGGAGCATGAAAAAGATTTTCAGTCAAACTAATCACCAAGCCAGGCACCAAACCCAAGTTTCTGAAAGCCTGTCCAGTCCCCTATGCAATTAGTCCCAAGGTAGGAGTTCATCTAGAATCCCTGATCCAGAGTGGGGTTCTAGAGCCAGTCAGCATGAGTAACTGGGCCACACCCATTGTACCTGTGATGAAAAAAGATGGATCCATCAAGATCTGTGGGGATTTCAAAGTGACGCTTAATCCTGTGTTGGAAGTGGAGCAATACCCACTGCCCCACATTGATGACTTGTTCGCTGAGCTAGCTAGCGGACAAAAATTCAGTAAAATTGACCTTAGCCAAGCATATCTCCAAATGCATGTGGACGAAAGCTCAAGGGAACTGCTCACCATTGTCACACACAAGGGTCTATATCGTTACTGTCTGCCATACAGAATCACGTCTGCCCCATCTCTTTTCCAAAGAGCGATGGATCAAATTTTCAATGGTCTCCTGGGAGTCCAGTGCTACTTGGACAACATACTGATCACTGGGAAGAGAGAGGAGGAGCCCTTGAGAAATCTAGATGCTACCTTGCAGCAGCTTAAAGAGTATGGACTCAGAGTTTGTAAATCCAAGTGCGAGTTTTTCCAGCCATCAGTCGAATACTTGGGGCATGTGATTGACTCTAAAGGCTTACACAAGGCCCCATCCAAGGTCAAGGCAATAATGGAGGCGCCAGCGCCCCAGAACGTAAGCCAGCTACGTTCTTACTTAGGGCTGCTGAATTACTATGGAAGGTTTATCCCAAACCTGGCATCCCTACTAAAACCACTGCATCAGCTGTTGTGTCAAGATAAAGCCTGGAAATGGATGGATCAGTGTGCACAGGCTTTCGCTCAAACAAAGACAGCTTTGCTGAAGTCTGAAGTCCTGAAATATTTTGATCCTTCCTTACCATTACAGCTAGCGTATGATGCTTCTCCTTATGGGGTTGGGGCTGTTGTATCACATATCATGCCCGATGGTGAAGAGAAGCCTATTGCATTTGCCTCGCGCACACTGAACAAAGCAGAAAGCCACTATGCCCAAAGTGATGGAGGTAGTGGTTAGTGGACGAAATGTAGAAGATACGACAGAATTGAAGCCATACCTGTCCAGTCGTAATAACCTTACAGTGCAGGCAGGTTGTTTTTTATGGGGACAGAGAGTCATCATTCCACCATCACTGAGGAAAAGAGTGTTGCCACAGCTGCATTCAGGCCATTGTGGAATTGTTTGCATGAAGGAACTCGCCAGAAGCTACGTCTGGTGGCCAGGACTCGATGGACAAATTGAGGAAACAGCAAAGTCATGCACATCATGTCAGAAGGTCCGCAACGTGCCACGACTGGCCCCACTCCACCCGTGGGATTGGCTGGAAGAAGCATGGCAATGGGTTCATGTTGATTTTGCTGGTCCATTTGAAGAGAAAATGTTCCTGGTAGCCATCGACGCACAAAGTGGCCAGAAGTGTCTATAATGAGATCTACTACTACAGAGAAAACAATTGACAGGCTTGGTGAGATATTCAGTCGATTTGGCTTTCCTGAACAGCTTGTAAGTGACTAGTCCTCAGTTCATTTCTCAAGAATTTGAGAAGTTCCTCGAAGTGAATGGAGTACAACATATCCAATCTGCTCCTTATCATCCTTCTACTAATGGATTAGCAGAAAGATTTGTGCAAGTATCAAGCATTCCCTGAAAGCTTCACAGGGACAGGGTTCACTTCATCAGAGGTTGAACAGTTTTCTACTGTCTTACAGAAATGTGCCACATTCAACTACTCAAGTCTCGCCTGCAACACTTCTCATGAAAAGCCACCAGCCCAGGTTGCTACCTTTCCAAGGCCGGCTACTGCAACAGTTGATTCAACACTGCCCACTACTCGTGTCAACTTCAGTTCCGGGAAACATTCCTGCGTCAGGTGATGGGGACGCTCTTCGTTATCCTGTGAGGGACTGACGGCCGCCCAGACGTTTGAGTTATTAGTCAGTGACATACCCACAGGAACGGGGCAGAATAATCCCCAGGGTAATGTCAGGGTTTGAGGTAGTCTACCCTCACTCCCTTAGCACAGAAGAATATCTATAAACATACGTTATGGAACTTCATTTTCTAAAATGTATATAAAAAAAAAAACATGCTGCAGTTGCAAATGTCATCAGGTGACTTTATAGCAGTGCGTCTCATTAGAAGTTGTCTGTTCTTTAAAAAGGAAAGAAAAAAAAAAAAGCAAATGCACTTTTTTGTTTAAGGGGGAGGAGTATGTCATGTATTGAGTATCTCTTAGAAGTACTCTAAGGCACTAGGTATTGCCGGGCATCGGACTACTTGTGTATTCCTCCGCATAGGTGAAAGTTCAAGATAATAAACAAAACAATGTTGAGTTGAAGACACTGCTTCTCTGTCTCCATGTGCTATATGTTGTTATAGTATAAGTCGATGAAATACTAAAAACACAACAGTACTCCTGGACCGAGAGCTGTGTCCATATACTTGGCAGTAAGTCAAGCTTGCTCAGTTTGAGTGTTGGACTCCGCCAAGTTTGTTCATTTGTCTCCACTCCTGGTTCTAATATTCATGGACAGGGTGTCAAGGCATAGCCAAGGTTAGGAGGGCATTATGGGTGGAGACCGGATGATGGCATCTGTGTTTGCGGATCATGTCATTTTGGCTCCATTGCATGGAGGGGTTTGCAGCTGAGATCACCATCTCCAAGTGTCCATTGTCCTATCCCAGGAGAAGATGGTATGCCAACACTAGGTAAAGTATCTCAGGGTCTTGTTCATGAATGATGGGAAGAGGGATGGTGAGATTGGCCGCAAGCAGAGACAGGTGGCAGCAGTAATGTGGTCACTGTGCCGGGCTGTAGTGGTGAAGAGTCTGTTTACCAGTCAGTTTACATCCCAGCCCTCACCTATGGTCATGAGCATTGGGTAATGACTGAAAGAATGAAATCACAGACACAAGTGACCAAAATGAGCTTTACACAGGGTGATGGGCTGCACTTTACTTGATAGGGTGAGGAGCTCAAAGTAGAGCTGCTAATCTTCTACATTGAGAGGAACCAGTTGAAGTGGTTCGGGCATCTAATTAGGATGCCCCCGACTGCCTCCCATTGGAAGTTTACCAGGCACGGCCAACTGGAATTATACCTCCAAGTTGACCTGGGCGCAGCTTGGGGCCCCTCAGATGGTTTGAATCCATCAAACAGTTGCTCAGCGAGGGTGTCACTCCAAGCATGTGGAGCTTTTTTTAGTCTGCATAGATAGGATAAGAGCATGGAATGCCAAGCTGTAGCCAATGAACAACATTCTTACATGTTTATGTTCTTGGAGCTGTCTTTGCTCTTTAGGTGTTCTAGAGCTGAGTGGTTGACTCTGCTCAGTCTTCCTCACTTCTGTAGATGAATTGTGAGAGCCAGCTCCTGCGACTCCTCACTCACTGGAACCATCTTCTGTGATTCTGTATTGAGCAAGCATTGATCTCATTCAGCTCATCTGGCAGGGCACCATGGCGTAGTTGATTTCAGCTCTCTGCTGATTTTGATAATCAGTGAATTGTTTCAGTTCTTGCCACGTGCACATTGTGTCAGTGGTGGTACAGTTTAGGTCTGTATTGTCTCTTAACCTCTGTATTTTTTTATCCAGGGTTTTTGATTGGGGTATGTCTGGATGTGCATTGTGGGAACCATGTTTTAATACACATGCTGATGTAACTTGTCACACTTATGGCATTTTACTCCAGGTCAACATTACCATCCTCTTGCACAACAGTTTTCTTGAACACCTCCAAGCTGGTGGTAGGAAGGCAAATTTAAAGCATATAATCTGCTTCTTCAGTCTTCGCTTTTACAAACTTACTTACCGGGGAGCTTGCCTAAGGACTGGTTTGCATGCCAAATAGAGGTGAAGGGAGATGTGGTCTGACTATCTGAAGTGGGGATGGGGCTCTGCTTTGTAAGTACCTTGAACACTGCAGTAAACATGATCAAGAGTTTAAGTATCTCTTGTGAGATCTGCCCTCTACTTTATGGAGACCTGGCTTTTTTGACCTGACCACAGACTTCCAGCTGCACAAAGCAGGCAGAGATGCGGAGCTCACCAGTAAAACCAGGGGATTCTATGGAGGATGGGCATCCAGGGGATGCTTCTATGTTAGAGAAAATGGATTTAAAACATCATGGTACTGTTATAATCATACACGCCTCATCTAGAGTCACTTTTCAGGGAGTTTTCTCTTTCATTTTAATTTATGTTTCTGTTACACTGGAGGTGCCGAAGAGAGATGCACAGAAATTGCTGGCCATTTAAATAATGGATGTAGAGAGAATCTGGACTCACTGCTAATCATATTGGGAGACTTTAAAAATTATAGTGTAATACCTGAGTTCTACCTCACTAATACCATAACACAGGCATCGATATCTAAGTTGAAATGCACTTAGACATCCACACCTGAGCTTTAATACACTTGTACAGTAAAAGACATCCATATCTGAGTTCTCCCACACTTATACAGTAACACAGACATCCATACCTGAGCCACACTAATACCATAACATATACATCCATATCTGAGATCTACCATGCTCCCAGGGAAACAGAGACACTTAACCTGAGTTTTACCACACAAAGTCCAGGAATACAGTCCAAGGGTGCCAGGTCACACAAGGAGGTCAGCTGAGCAGGACACTGGAAAGCCAGTTGAACCGGACTCTAAGCTCATCACTAGAATGAGACAGGATGCTACTTCTAAAACAGGATGAAGATCTGGCACTAATAACTGCCAAAGGATGACAGGAGCACAGGAGCGGCTGCCACTCGAGGTCTTCAGTCACAGAAAGGAGGACAGGAGTGTCGGGGGCCTTTAGGTACAGAGAGAAAGACAAGAGGAACAAGGCCTTAAGCTGCATGTAAGGAGGGCAGGAAGAATGGGTCCTTAAGCCACAGGCAGAAGGACAGAATTGACTAGGCCTTAAGCCACAGGCAGGAGGACAGGGGCTTTTGGGCATTTAGTTACAGGCAGGAGGACAGGAGCAACAGGGCCTTCAGCAACAAGAAGGAGGACAGAAGTGGCTGGACCTTCAGCCACAGGAAAGAATGAGGAGCCTGCTAATTACTGCTCTTTAGAGCAATGGGAGGTGCTGTAGGACTTTGCATGGCTCTATAGTCGCCTGCCATGACATTGAAGGCTTCTCTCCTTCTGCATTACCAGCAAGCTGCTTGACAACACAAGGGCTGGAGCTGGAGTGATTATAGCTTCTTAATGTTTTTTGGAATTCTTCTTCTCCTCCAGTTGAGGGTCAAAGGCAAACCAGTACTTGGCCAGTGAGTGAGTAGTATCATCCTGAAAAGCCCTCTTTTAGTCTGTCCACTTTATGACAGGCCCTCATATCAAAGAAGCCACAAAAGCCACTCACAGTGAAACAACCCAATGTGATGTGCTAAACAGAACTGCCACATGGAGCATGCTATTTGATGCACACTTCATTGGCAAAGCGTTCTGTTACAAAGTAGTCTTGTAGACAGGCTTCCCGTACTGAGTAGCTTTATTAGGTTTTATGTATGTGTTTACATGCAGATATATGAATCTCATTTTCTATAATAATCTGTTGTGCTGCTTTGTATTTATTGTTTTGTTTGTTGTTCTATATATTTATTGTGTGGTATTTATTTTATGTATTACACTCATTTCATAGCATGACTGTAAGACCACAGATTATCATTGCTTATATAATTTTTAATAGATCATGTCTGACTGAAGTAGAATGTTACTGTGACCAGCACCACATCTTACAGACAAATCTAATGTGTTAGAAATGTATGGGTTTCTTCAGGAGAGCTCATGGATAATTCATCTGATATTTTGTACTTGGTAATGGAGGAGCATGTTGAATTGCAGAAGTACAGATATTTTTATTTTGTAATTACTCTGGCAGTTTATCTGTTGATTATTTGCTTTAATACTGTTGTCATTTTTATCATTTACACAAACAAATGTCTCCATGAGCCGATGTACATTTTAATTGGCACTTTTCAATTCCCTTTTTGGAACGACTGCCTTTTATCCTAAACTGCTGAGTGATTTTCTGTCTGAAAGACCAGTTACTTCTTACTCAGCCTGTCTGTTTCAGGCCTTTTCTCTTTACACATATGGAGCTTCAGAGTTCACACTGTTATCAGCTATGGCCTATGACAGATATGTGTCCATATGTAAACCATTACAATACGCAACACTTGTAAAAATGTCCACTGTGAAAAAGCTCTTATTTTGCTGTTGGTTTATGCCTTCCTTTGTTATTGGCATATCAGTAATAATAACATTCCAACTTCAGTTATGTAAATTCAAACTAAACAGAATATACTGTAATAATTCTGCAATTACTAAATTAAGCTGTGGAAATGTATCTGTTAGCAATTCATATGGAATGTTTGCTTTAACTCTTTCTGTATTTCCACCCATGATCTTAATAATCTACTCATATATTAGAATACTTGATGTCTGCTTAAAGAATTCAAAAGATTTCAGAAGAAAAGCTCTACAGACCTGCTTCCCACACCTTATTATTTTCATCAGTTTCACTTTTACCTCCTGCTTTGAAGTGATCAACAGCAGATTTGAAGGAAATGTACCTCAGATTTTTTTTCTGTGAAGGTGTCAGTTGAAACTTTGGTCATTCCTCCTCTTTATTAATCCTATTATGTATGGTTTGAAATTGCAAGAGATTTCTAGTAGAGTCAAGAAAATAATGTAGAAAAGGAATACACATATTTTTAAATGTTTATCTTAAACCCTTTACATGGCTATTTTATTCTGTATGCCATGCAATTTTTTTATCAACATATAGAATATCTACACTGCTCATTAAAAAAGGAAAAAAAAAGTCTAATGTGCATAGCTGGTTTATTATTTATTTGTACTCAATGGGAAAGCTGTGTAAATTTAACTGTCTAAAATAA